AACACCTATTACCAACCGAACACTCCCATCCGTCACGGTGGTTGCATCATTTCATCTGAATAGACGTCGAACTGGACCGATTTCTTGTTCAGCGACTCGGAAATATTCAGTTAGGCTCGCACATCAATGCCTGTCGATGTGGTTTCTAGCAAACGTCATATGCCAGTTGTAAGCACAGTTCAGAGGCACGTTATTAAAAAAATACAACATAAGTTTTCGGTTTCTTTCTGTAGTTTTCGCAAAAGAGAGAAGGAATTGTGCAGAGTGCGAGAGCAGAGCCGATTTATTTATTTATTGCGTTGATAGGTGGACGAGCTCAAGACCCACCTGGTGTTATCGGAGCCCATAGACATCTACGACGTAAATGCCGCCATCCACCTTGATACATGAGTTTTAGTCTCAGTTTTAATAGTACAACGGCTGCTGCACCCTTCAAACCGAAACGCGTTACTGCATCACAGCAGAAATAGGCAGGGTGGTGGTACCTACCCGTGCGGACTCACAAGAGGTCCTACCACCAGTAATAATATAGAAGATATTTGTTAAAAGTCGGAATAGCGTAGAATTTGCATTTATTATGGATGTTCCGTGCGACCACACGGATAGGTACCACAACCACGTCCAGCATTAAGCATTTGTTTTTTCGATCTGAAGGATAACCGTATTGAAATCTTATAGCAGAGGCCATCAGTGTATGGGTGTGGGGCTCGTTAAGCTCTTAATACCAGGTATCACTGGGTATCTTGGTACCTTAGTACCAGGATGACAAATGACAACTGAAGATAATTTACTCACAAAGCTTCATAAGAGATCGTGGCGTCCATTTTAGTGATTAAATGCTTGTAATGTTTGAAATTATCAAATCTAGCTAACATTTAACATGTTTAGAGTTCATTCTTTTTTTTTTATGATTGAAGGATTACTGGTGGCCAGGAGACCTTTCCAATTTCACCAGGACAGGAAAGCTCATTCCTGACGTTCATACTGTCTCCTTCGGTTGTCCGTGACCTTGAAATATATTTCGATGGACTGGACGGACTGCCTTATGGACTGACTTTTGAAAAACGGTAGGTACCTTATTAATTAAGTGTGCACAGAATTTTAGTTATTTTCCTTTTTTCTTCTTCTTTTTTTTAATCACCTTTGTAGGTAGACGAGCATACGGCCTACCTGATGGTGAGTGGTCACCGTCGCCAATGGACTTCAGCAATGCCAGGGGCAGAGCCAAGCCGCTGCCTACTGCAAATATTTTCGTTCGGATTTTCGTTCGTCGAAATACACGACCGTATTTATTTAATAAAAAAAAGGGTCATAGAATAGAAAATAGTCGATATTCCTACGCTTCGTACTCTATACGCATCATTGAGAGTCGATTTGTCGACGGTTCGCATTCTAAGGATCCGTCTCTAAAGCTCGCGCCCTACCAATAAACTATAATCATTGTCATATCGAAAACTTCTGAATAATTAACCGTATAAATTATCGTAAGTAATAAATAACGCCACGTCTACAGAACTGGTCAGGCTGGCGGAGCATTTTATTTCGTTTCGAACGGTTTATAGAGTTAATAGTCTCGGCGGCAGATGTTACTTTGACGAAGATTAATGGGACACTATTTTTACTATTTACTTTACGGAAAGGGAGCTGTCACTGTAAAATACTGTTACTCCGGTAAGAGTAACGCCATCTATCGCCGAATAGTCGAACGAATATCGAAGGATCTAGAACGCTCGAGATGTACAACGCCATTTATTGACAAATATCGGAAACTACTACTAGAGATGTGTAGAATATTCTCGATAATTCTAGGGATGAGGTATCGGCTATAAAAGCGCTGTAAGGATGGCATGCAGTCAGTCAGTAATCGGGACTACTCGAAGAGAAACAGCGAACGGATCACCTGAAGCGAAGCCGAACAAGCGAATTGAGAGTTTTAAAGTGTTTGTTGAGTGTTTTTCAGTGTTCTAAGTGTTGAATACAGTTTTTAGTTATACTTTGGTGAAATTTTATTTATCCCGAGCCCCAGCGCGTAACAATACTTATGCCATTGTATTTTAGGTTTTTTACTGGACACCGAAGATGAACTCACGGACTCTTAAATGTTGTAGCGTGTGTGTGTGGAGCCTCGAGAATAAAACCTTCAGCAATATGAAAGCTGACGGGCATGGGTTGCTTTTACAAAACATAATCAAGTCTAACACTACACGTTGAATCATGGTAGACGAATCAGAATCATCATCAATCGACATCCTTGACACATTACAAAAGAAGCCTACAACGTAATCGTTGTCCATGACAAAAACAATGTCAAAATTAAACTGCTACATGCTAAGTGCTCGCAAACACACGTCAATTAACAAATTACTCTGAAATTCAATAAATAGCTCAAAAATCACTTCGAATCTCTCGCGCGAACCACATTGGTTTTCGATACGAAATAAAAATCCAATTTTTTGTAAGAAAGGGGCAAGATTTTATTGTCACATTTTTTTTTTAACATTGTCTAAGATATATGACATCACGGTGCTTCGGCGGCGTCCGAAGCTGAATCACTATTTGCCACAAACAGAAAGTACCCGACCAAAAAGACATCAAAATTCGGCATGTATTGTGTCTATGACTTGGCTAACCGCAATGACGCAGTCGTTATTTCATTGGCTGTAATTTTAAATTAAGTAGATTCACTAATTCAAATTAGCTAAGCTTCTTCAAAATAGGAATATAAAAAGAATAACATTACAGATATGATTGCAGGAGAAATAACAAAACTGATTGAATAAGACGCATGTAAAAAATGCTGAATGCATTGAAGCAAAAGGGTGCGTCGTGTTAAAAAATATTTCAGAACGTGTTCCTTCCAAATAGGTCCAGTTAATCTAACACTATTCTTTTCCAAATTCTTTGCCTACGATTCTACATTTATTTGATATGTCAAAGATTGTTACGGATCAGCTGAGCCAACATATTGCTTAGCCCAAATTTTCACAAATATAATAGCGATCTTTTTACATATTTGTCAAATTTGCAATTTTTCGGGGATGATTATCTAAAAATGTTGCCTCAACTAGATTCAGACAACCATCTCAATCGTCAAATATAGTCAAATCGGTCCAGTTATTTACAAATGGTAGTTAGTAGCTTAATCGATTGAACCTAATTTCATTCATTACGAATAAGTTGTTTGTGTAATACTTTTTTATATCTATCAGCATACACACTACCGATATATAAATTATTAACGACACTTATGTCTTAGTATGTGTGTGTTTACTCATTTTCACCAAGGAACAGTTTTCTCTCAAAACATTTAATGGTAAACATTCTTCAACATATATACATATATGCTCTATACATTAGTACAGTAGATAAATATCGTGCTTAGTCAAACCGGTGCTCGGAAACGAGAGTCGTGTCTCGAGTGGCCACTTTTCTTGAAATTGGACAATTGAAGTCCTTAGCAAACATTTCGAGGATACCCAAAAAGGTATGTTCTTCTGCACATTGTTATATTGCAAGCTGTTTACATTCGAACCCTTATTATCAGAGAGAGATGAGCGTATTGTAAAGATCATTAATATAGAGTTTATAGAGTATTAGAAAACTGCACCAAATCTTTAAATTTAAGGAAACATTACAATGATTTGACTAACTAAAATTTTACAGTTTAATGACGCGCTTACATTGTTTTTTTTCTCTGCTTCCACGCTAGCCTGGTAGTCTAAGGGGCTATTCCAGCTACGGGCAGGTGGGTAAGTGCATTATTTATACTTTAAATATATTAATGCCTATACCATTCATAAGACAATAAGCCAAAGTTTGAATCATTGGAAGGTAAACGATCTATCAAATATGCATGAATTTGTCAGCAAAAATAGGTTTTCGTTGTCTAGCATAACCTGCCCATTATCCCTTAATTCGGAGGGCCCAATCTCGGCGGTCCGTGCTGGAGGCATGGTCCAGACGGCTGGCCGATCCTTCGGCTGGTCGTAGGACCGTCGAGGCGATTCGCCCGGTCCTTGTGGATTGGGTGAATCGTGACAGAGGACGCCTCACTTTCCGGCTCACGCAGGTGCTCACTGGGCATGGTTGCTTCGGTGAGTTCCTGCACCGGATCGNCAGTTCGACTCCGACATGCCCCGCCTTCCATCCCCAGGGGAGGGCGGAAGTCCGGCGATTTCCTCCTGACCAAAAAAAAAAAAAAAAATCCCTTAATTGATTTTTATCTTAGACAAGCATTTCGGTGTTTCAAAAATCCAAAATGCAATGTAAACACATTTCAGTGTACCTTGACTTCGCGGTTCGTAAAACGCTACCTACTACAATTCAAGTTACAACAGTAGTTAAACATTTCAAATTACAGTCAAGCCAAGTGCATGACGTCTTAACGTTAGTTTATCACGTACAATAACAAGTTAATAGCAAACTTTGTAGCTACAACACATAAAAGAGCACTGTTGATAGTTCGTCGAGTGTTTGCTAAGATCGAGCGCCGACTGTCCAATGGCACTTTAAGTACTTCAGATCCCGTCTTTAATATAGTACATTCAATAGTTTAGTGAAGTGACTACATCGCTATACAACTTCTAACTAAAGAAATACTTAACAGGTTCTTACGACTTCTACGTTAAAGAAATGAAAAGCCCGCAAAATATGGATATGGATGGCAGGATTTAAAAATGCGAACACATGCGGATAGGTAATCTGTCTGCCTCTATCGCGAATCATTTATGCCTACGTCTGGTCTAGTCTTAAGCTGAGTGGTGGAATTCGAACGTTGTCTATGATACATATTGTGCCGGCGACTAATACTTATGTATGGTCGCTTTAACATAGACACTTGATACTGTTTAAAAGACACTTGTTAAAAATCTTATGCTACCGATTGACATTTCAATTATGTTATGACTAAAACCTTTCCCATAGTATTATGAGCAACTTTACAGAATTTCCACTACAGCAAACAGATCCTCAAGGTAATTAAATTTTAATTTTAGACTCACCAGTGATATTGAGCACGACCCTTTCTCCGTGAGTAGCCACGATCCTCCACTCGCATCGTTCTGGTGTTGTGGGCACTGGCTCGGTTCCCCAGCCAGGCGAGTTGAACCACCCAGAGTTGCCCAATAATGTCCTGCCGCATTCTGTAGCAAAAGTTATTACTTGGGTTTATTTCCATCACTATGAAAACGGGTATTTGTGGATTGGAAAAAGGTGGGTTCTTATTAACATTTCTTTGCGGTTCAATGCCGAAAATACCCTATTGTCAAAGGTGGACACATTTTACGTTACTGATTATTCCCGTTGTAGTCTCAATTGATACAACTTTCAATCCAGAACATATTAAAACATTCGCGCTAGAGATAGGCTGAATGGTAATTCTAAGTTGCGATCAATAATTGTGCTTGTTGTAATTTTTAGTAGTCAAAATAGTAATTAGGAACCTTTATTTGGAGTTTTACTTCGAACAGTGAAATTACTAGAAAACAATTCGTCATATTGACCATAAAACCCTCAAGAACATGCATACTTACTGGCACATTTATATAATAGATTAGTCTGCGCTATGTCACTAGCGCTAAGTTTGATTCTCTGCCCGATCTCTGGTCGTTTCTTTCCGTGCACCTCCAACGGCAGGATTGTGTCCAAAAATGATCCTTTACTGAACGTGTTTCGTGCGTAATGCATTATTGAATCATAATCGTACGTTTGTCCTAGCGAATTTACTTCTTCAACTGTTAGCTTGTTGAAATTGTATTCTTGGCCTGCGAAGGAATGTTTATTAAATTAGCGATAATCGAGTGGATCAAGTTTTGTTTGTTACGGAGGCAGATGTCCTAGCCCAGGTGATTTTTAAATGTCTACTGAAGCCCCTTAAGACAAGAAGTTACAGTCTTAAACGGCTGTGTCTTCAAATCCGAACGAATGGTTGTTTTGACGTCTGAATGACTGACGGGATTGGTTTCTTACCTAAACCCTGGTAGCCTAGACTATGCAAACTACGTGCGGATGGCTAGGTGAGCTCACAGACTCAACCTGATAGAATTTGCTAACAGCCTCAGTAAGAGTATAGCTAGGCTACATCTACGCCCAAATCAGATCTACGACCCACTGAGAGAATCCGACAAGAAAATTAGTGGGTTGTGTCTATGCGCTAGGATGCACGTTCAACTTGCTTTGCTTGGCCCCATAGCCTGATTCGGATATGTAGTTAGAGGCGGCAAGAATCAGAAGGTTGTGACGAGCCGCTTTTTCGAATAATAGCAGGTATGACCGGTACCTATGGCTGATATGATCCGTGCGATCAAACCAGCCGTAAATGCTGGTTGACAATTTTTTTATTTTATTGCTTAGACGAGATCAGCCCACCCCGTGTGGTTAAGTACAATTGAAGTACGCTGATAATACTCAGAGAAGGTTGCTTCTGATTATTCACTGAATCTTTTAGTCACCATTTACGTCACGCACGGGTAAAAATCCAACTATCCGCATAGTTAAAACCCTTCATTACCAAGAAAGTCAATAGCCATAAGAATTCAATTCTCTTCTTAAACAACTTTACATCAAATCGACTTGAACATACCTAGTTATTTAAGAGATTTCATTTGGTAAATTCTGTGTATAAATCTACAGTAACATTTATGAAATTAAATTGAAACTCGACGAATAATTAATAATTGGAATTGAGTTGAAGACTTTAAAGTTACGAATCTTGCGTAAGTCCCGAGTTAGTGGGCTTCGCGAGCGAACAGCTGTTGCTGTCGTAAACGGTATTTTGATTGAATTCTCAGTTAATTAATAGACACTTTTTATTACTGAATGGGAAAAGTTATGACCCTTTTTTTATTGCTTAGATGAGTGAGTTTAACTCTGCCATTGCCGGTCCCAAGCCCGGATGAGAAAAGAGGAGGGTTGAGTAGAGCTGGACATTCCTACCGTAAAACGTCAACGCCGAGCACTGGGCGGCGGGAAATTACCCAGCCCCCGGATACAACTAGAGACCCGGAGCGGGACGGACCAGTTTGCCGTGAAGGACTAAATCCCTTAGAAATACTGATGTGGAAGGACGTGGGAACCCATCACAATTACATCCCAAGAGAGTCATGGACAGAGAAACATTTAAACTGTTTCAAGGCCATGACCACGACCCTCAGTAATGAGGAAACCGACGCAAGGAGGAGGAGATGAGTGGACGAACTCACAGCCCACCTGGTGTTAAGCTGTTACTGGAGCCCATAGACATCTATAACGTAAATGCGCCACCCACATGGAGATAAATTCTAAGGTCTCAGTAAAGTTACAACGGCTGCCCCACCCTTCAAACCGAAATGCATTACTGCTTCACGACAGAAATAGGCGGGGTGGTGGTACCTACCCGTGCGGACTCACAAGAGGTCCTACCACCAGTAATTACGAAAATTATAATTTTGCGGGTTTGATTTTTATTACACGATGTTATTCCTTCACCGTGGAAGTCAATCGTGAGCATTTGTTAAGTATGTATTTCATTAGAAAAATTGGTACCCGCCTGGGATTCGAACACCGGTGCATCGCTTCAACACGAATGCACCGGACGTCTTATCCTTTAGGCCACGACGATTTCTAACCAAGTGACGCCAAGTAATCCTCGGATGTCATGATGTCGAAGCCTCAATTGCAATCTACAAAACGATTATCCTTTAGTTAGTCAGTTTTTTTTCCGAAACTATTCGGTGGTAGCCTTAGGGGTTTTTCCAGCTACACGCGAACGGATAAGTGAGCTCACGGCCTCAACCTGAAAGAATTTGCTAACACTAGCCCTTCTTACTGGTGGTAGGACCTCTTGTGAGTCCGCGCGGGTAGGTATCACCATCCTGCCTATTTCTGACGTGAAGCAGTAATGCCTTTCGGTTTGAAGGGTGGGACAGCCGTTGTAGATATTCTGAGATCTTATAACTCATATCTCATGGTGGGTGGCGGCATTTACATTGTAGATGTATATGGGCTCCAGTGACCACTTAACATCAGGTGGGCTGTGAGCTCGTTTACCCATCTCAGCAATAAAAATAAAAAAAAATAGCAAGAGTAGTTCTTGGCAGAATCTACCACCGTATCGGAACCGTGACCCACTGAGAAGATCCGACGAGAATATCAATGGACTTTGTCTATGAAGACAATCAGTAGGGAGTAGCTACTCGTATTGCTTTATAATACGCCTTACTGCCAATAAGTTTGTAGCTAGTATAGGCAGCAAAAACACTTTTACATTGCACATTATATTTTTTACCAACTTAAGCTCTAACATGGTATATTAAGATAATGCAGCAATAAACGCGCCAGATAGAGGGTAGATAGTAAAAATTCCATTCATAATCGGCAATCTACCTGCGGTCTTGGCGTTTTTTTTTATTGCCCTTGTAGGCAGGCAGAGCACACGGCCCACATGGTGAGTGGTAACCGTCGCCCATGGACTTCAGCAATGCCAGGCAGGGGCAGAGCCAAGCCGCTGCCTACCGCAAAAGTACGTAAGTTTGTAAGCACAGTTGCGCGAATAGTTATAGATAGACAGTTTACAAAACCAAGAATCGTGATATGGATGGGTGTACCTCAGGGTTCCATTTTGGGTCCTTTTTTATTTCTAATATATATAAACGATCTGCCTAGTTTTATTGAGTCCCGACACGAGGTCGTATTATTCGCAGATGATACATCTTTAATATTTAAAATTAAACGACAATTACAAGTCTATGACGAAGTGAATGATGCGATTTCGTGTGTGGGTCATTGGTTCCGTATCAATAACCTATTATTGAATAGTAAGAAAACGAAATGTATTAAATTTACTTTAAAATGTATTAAATCATCTTTAAATGTGAGACAAGCAGATAGTAATGTAATTGTTTCTGAGGAATCATTGGAGCTTGTTGAGTCAACCGTATTTCTTGGTATAACAGTGGACTCCAAACTGCAGTGGGGACCTCATATTCATAAATTGGCGAGTAAGCTCAGCTCTGCAGCATACGCAGTAAAAAAAATTTGAATGTTAACAAACGCGGACACGGCTCGTTTAGTTTACTTTAGTTACTTCCACAGTGTNGACTTGTTTTTTCGTTAATTGTAAATATTTAATAAAAAAATTTTTTTTAGAAAAAAAAAAAAAAAACACTGAGTTTGTTTCGCCGGTTCTTCTCAGGACTGTGGCTTTTTTTGGAACCGGTGGTAGAGTTAACATTGTTATTTATATTTTGACATTCAACAAGTGTGTTATACTGACACCTAAGTTGAAATAAATGATTTTGAATTTTGAATAAATTACCACCATTTTAATGAAACATTATTTCATTATTTTTTAAAATTAAAGTTGCTATTTTAACGGAAGACGGAATTTCAATACATCTCATTTAACAGTATGTCATATATCACTTAATTGAAGTTAATTTTATTCGATTTAGGTTCATACTAAATTTTATTTCATTTCGTTCCATTTTCTTTTTGTCATACAACACAGTCATGGGTTCGGGCTTTGTTACAAAACATTTAGCCATGTTGACGACGTTCCATTTGCCTCTCTAATAGACGGCTTTAATAAAAATAGCTATCATCATCATCATCTTAGGCCTTACAGCCCAGGGTGGGCCTTAGCCTGGTCCAGTATGTCTCTCCAGACTGCTCTGTTCAGGGCTTTCTCCTTCCAGTTCTTGACGCCGATATTTTTGAGGTCGCGCTCCACGCCATCCAACCATCGAAGTTTGGGTCTGCCACGACTTCTGCGGCCCTCTGGTTTGCCATATAATAGCTATGGTTTCCAATAAAATTGATACCGCGTTGAATGTAATACAAATTGGGTACTCTCATTCACCAACTGACACTCCACCGAAAAACCAGTCATTCCAGAAGAGGAGTGTGTCTCACACCCCCTCCAACAATGAGCGAGTAAAAACAGAGTCGATTTCGGAGTCAATGAACATTTTGGAATAAGACAAGCTTGGGGCTTCATTTTAACGGCGGTTAATGAATAAAAGGAAATATATGATTAGTAATCTACGTAGCAAACAATTTACGTAGAAAAAAACAATAACATATGCACTTGTAAGTAAGTAATAAAATACAAAATACTAATTAAAAAAATATTTAGTTGTACTATTCGCTTATCATGATAACAATCACTGCATCACTTATTTCTGTAAGAGATTCCGGTTTTTGGTTTGAAGGGTCAGGTGGTCATGTACCTGTTATTATTATTGCGATTATAATAGGAGAAAGCATTGTACGTAATATGAATACCCTAGTATTTTCTTAGGCGAGTTGTAGATCTAATTAACAATTTATATATTATATTCACAATTTAATCTTGCGTTTTTTATTGTCATTAGATTATTTCCAACGTGTCGAATACTTTAAAATTGTAAAATAGTTTTTTTATTAAAAATGCCATTATAATAATAATAAATAAAAATAAAAAGCCTTTTATTTCTTGCATTTTAAAAAAGTGACATTAAAAAATTATAAAAAAAATAGTTGATAATACATTAATAATAATAGATACTAATTATGATAGAATTCTTAATAAATTGTGTATAATATTAGTCGGATCAACATAAAAGATATAAAAAAGGTTATATTAATTTAGCATGCAGGCATGCAAGGCATGCAAAAATTCCATTAAAAAACCATAAGTAAACTTCTAAATAGTATAAATTCATAATCGATTGACCCAACTCGAACATAATAAGTATGGAGGAGGCTTGTTAAACTAAACGGTGACTTTTTATTGAATTAATTTCTC